AGCTCCGGCTCACGGGCACCTGATTTTAGGGGAGAGGACGAACGGGGCATGTCAGGGAGCAAATTACATCGCAATAACCCTGTAAACCAAAGTGACGAGGACAAGTTGGGTCGCGTACTCAAACCTCGAGCGGGGACACTAAAATAGGCTTGAATAGCATCGCCCGACTAAAGGCGAGCGCGTGTATGTTAGGGGTGTGTGCCCTAACCACGGGCGAGGTCATTGAGGTGCACTTTCTAGGAGAACCACTAACCGCAACTAGAATAGAGGGCGAAAGAGTAAAGAAGGTGGAAGATTGTGGAATTCACCCCACTTAAAATTTGTAAGTAAGCGATTACTCCCGTAGTTAATTTGAAACGCTATTTTGATTAAGATACTAACTTAAGCGATTATGTTATGCAGTGACCGTCCGAGGCTCTGCAGCTCAGTGCCATCATCCAATCCCTACTGGGTCGATGGCCGGCGTCTAGAAAACTGGAAGACTACAGGTAATTCAATCTACTTAAAATTTGTAATTAGGTGGTTATGATACATAAGGTCCTTTCGAAGACGCCGCATGGAATCCCTACCCCCGTCGCTACAGCAAGCTGACCAATGAAAACGGTATCCGGCAAAGCACGTCTTGACTGGCCGACCAGAAAGCAATGTTTTGAGCTCCTTAATTGGCCTCATCAGCCCCACAACATGACAGTTTCCGGCCGATAGGGAAACAAGTGCAGTGAGTAAGGATATAGCTTGTCAGGACTGAAATGTCAGGTAAACTAGATGAAAAGCAAGACATGGAAAATTCCGAAATATGACAAGAAAACTATTGCCCAGTACATACATTTTTCCGCGGGCTCCACCAGCCGAGAACCAGTCCCAGTGGTTGTGTCGAGTTCTTTGTGGACCTCAGTATTTGACTCCGCGGGTGAGTCCGGTTCCTGGGTCTAAAAGAGGGGTGCAGTAGGCAATCAGAAAGTAGGCTATTTTACAGACAGTCTGAGGGTGACCGACTGACGGAAATTTATAAAGAGCACAAGCCTGCGAGAAACCGGCGGTTTCAGCGATGACGATTGCATCCAGTTGTTCGACTTGTGATTCCTGGGTGGCTTCGAAGGGTTCAAGGACAACTCTGCAAAAAGAGTGGGGAATGAAAAATGGCTGTTGAGGATGGGCTGGCCATTTTTCACAATCTTCCGAAGTTTGAGAAGACAAGAACCTAGGGTGTTTGCTCATACTGTACAAACGGGAAAACGAGACACAATACATCAATCTTATTAATGGAGAAAGACAGTACTTAATGACTAATTTAGCCAAACATGACGCGGGGGCAGTGTGTAACATGGTCTCAAAGACTGACTTGGGCGCCTTGTTAGATGTTATTGTTAGCTTAAGATGGCAAAACTTTGAATAAACAAATTCAAAAGTAAAAAGATAGTTTAAGATGCGACCCTCACCTAGACTCCTGCATAGACTTTTGGTATGAAAGGGTGCTTGCAATCGGTACTAAATCCGTTGCCGCCAGTGGAGATTTCGCTGCCTCGGCGCCAAACCTGACGGTAGAGCATAGCACCGGGGGTGAACCAGACGGGGCGGTGCCGTCGTCGGCAGCAGCAGTCTCAGAATCTGCAAGAAGTATAACTGGTGCGGCAGGAGCTTCGACGGCCACCCCAACTTCCTTTTCAGTGACAGTACGGTC